TTTAGCTTGCTTTAAACAGTCAGCTACAGAAAGATAACCTTCCTTGTAAAGGCAGAGATCTGCTGTGTGTGGAGGAGTTGTTCCTACAAGGTTGGATTTTAATCAGATGTCATCTGTGACAAGCTGTATGTTATCACCTGGCAAAAATATGCCAAGTAATTACAGTCTATAGGGTTAACTGGGTGATTATGGGGGTAACTTACTAAGTGGGGTATGGTGACTAAGAATCCCAACAGAATCTTGTCTTTTTGTAGCTATCAAATATGGTCGCTTGATCCTTTTGATGTTTTCTTGTTTCTGTTTTATTCTCTGAGATTATCTACCACTTCAAAGAGGTTGTAATGCACGAAAATAGTAAAACAGGACCGTAGAGCTAGACTTTCTTTCTGTCCCTCTTCCCCCATGACCCTGCTGGGATTTTATGAAATACAAAGATGTGTTGCACATGCTTATGACCTCCAAAAGGTCCTTTAGGACAGGACTAAAAATCAGTAAAGTCTGATTTAATATACCTTTCCTTCACCCTCATGTTGAAATGCAGATACATAAAATGTCAATATGCAATGGAGATGAGGAGAGAAAATCTTATTACCTGTGACAGTGTAACTGAGCTCAAGTGTTGCTCATTAGCTTCATCAATCAACTGTGACATATTATTGCAAGACTWCATCCTGAGAATGCTTGAAATTAAATACCACCCAGTCTAGGGCATGTTAAAACAAGAACACCCTTCTGTACTGCAATGAGCAACTGAGCCCCCACCGAACAGGTGTCAGCTGTTGGTCTTCCAGCTGGTCCTCAGAGYAGCTGCATTTGTTGGTGTAGGACAAAGCCACTTCTGAGCCAAAGCAAAGTACTTCAGGCTTTAGCTTCACAAAAATTAGAATTGGGCTGCTGCGAGCAGCCATTTCAGCAAGGGATCGTTTTCCCAGGTTGTGTTTCAAGTCAGGGAGGTCTATGCACTGTAATTACTATGGTGCAGAATGACCTAAATAAGTACCCTGCGAGAGCATTTGTTTTCATTGCGTATTTGAATAGACAGTTGTCATGGTGTTTGGGAATTTGGATGTGCTCTGTGTGTGGTGTGCTGTTTATTTTTCTTTTTAGTTTGTTTGTTTTGTCCTCTACCTTGAGGTATTGGTACAATTAGTTAGAGTGCCAATAAAAATGTATTGATTACATGGATTAGGTTGGCAAACCAGACTTGCTAAGAGTTAATATAACCTGACCTAACTGGGGTCCTGGAGCTGGTTCTGTTTTGTTAAAAATTTTCAGGTTTGCATATAGTGGCAGGACTGTGTGAGCTTTCTTATTCTTGGGTTGTATGTAGGTGCCCTAAACCTGTGAGTAAGGTTTGAGTGCAGGGTTGGGGGGGGACACRGAGATATGGAAAGAGTAATCATGTTCAGCCTTCAAGCTGAGCTCGTTTCATGGGAAATATTAGAAATTATACAAGATTTTAGTGTGAAGTTGTAGGTTCTTAAACTACTGAAATTTTTGAAACGTGGATACTGTAATGACACTCTATCTGCTTTAATAGAAATACTTAGATCTTGGATCACTCGATAAGAGTGACTTTGGGACACAGGAAAAAAGGAGAAATTCAGGTGGAGAGAGACCTCAGGATGTCTATAATCCAAACTTCTGCTCACAGCAGGGTTGTCTCTACCTAGTTGATCAGGACTTGATGCAGATGAATCTGAAACATCTGAAGATGCAGACTGGGCAACCTGTTTAGTGCTTTAACTGCCCTAGTGGAGGGAAAATGGGTTCTCATGTCCAATGTCAACCTCTCCTAATTGAACTTGCGTTTGTTTTGCTTTGCCCTCCTGCCACGCACTGCTGTGAAGAGCCTGGCACTTTTTTTTTT